ATGTAGTACGAGGGTTTAATAGAGATATCAAGAGGATACCTATCAAATCTGAAGAGATTGGTAATGGTTGGCTTTACGAGAGTTTAGTAGTCAAGCTAAAAGCATTTTTGACCTTTGATGCTTTTAAAAAGGAGTGTAGTAACAGAAGGGTTAAGGATGTGAACGTCAGCGATAGGGGGGGGTAGAGTTGCAATACTAACATTTCAGTTAGTCAAACATATGAAGGAATGGAAAGTAAAATTGGAGGAATGGAAAAAAGGAAAAATGATTGAAAGTGAAAGGTGTGTTTGATTATATTGCTCTGGAATTCCTTTTAATTTGTGGAACATAAAAACTCTCAATGACATTGGGAGAGTTTGGGGCGAAGTAGTTCAACATGATGAAGGTACCAACAACCCAGTTTCATTTCAATGGAGTAAAGTAAGGATAATAACCACAAGCAGAGAGTTTATTAATGCAGTGATAGTCCTTGAGTGCAATGGGGCACAATATACAGTTAGAGTGTGTGAAGAGATAAGCTGCCCATCTTTGGTCGGGCGAGCGGGGGTGCTCACGAAGTGACCTTCCCCAATCGTACCCAAGTTCCCGAGCCGGGGCAACTTTGGTGATGACGGACACGTGGCCTTAGGCAACGAGTCAGGGTTTCCTAAATTTTCCAAAATAAAATATTTAGGTGGCGACTCTGTATCTGGCAAAGCAGTCCATGTTTGGCACTTCTTTTAAAAAATCTGTTTTAAAAAACGATTTGCCGGATTTGGACTCTTTGATGATTTCATCGGTCTTGCGTTGCACTCTGCGAGATTAGATACAGGACCGTGACACAAATCGAGTCCGAACTGTAGTGAGGCCCCGAGGGCGCATCTACAGTTAGAAATGAAGGAATCTACATTAAACCATGCATGCATGCATATTTTCTTACATTTTAGGTTTACTTGTTAAGAATTCCCTCATGCATGTCGTTGTTTTGACTTAGTTTTGGAAATTCATCAAGCTTCATGCTATTTTATATCATTTGATCATGTTTGGAAGGTTTTGAAGTCAAGAAATTACATGAATGACATGTGTTCAACATTTCAAGCTTGAGTTTGCACAATTGGCATGCTTTTGGGCTTTGATTTTGCGAAATGATTTTGAATTCCCAATGTTTTCCAAGTTCATACATGTTTCCTTAAGTTTTTGGCCCAAAAGGATGAGTTTTGATGTGTTTAATTCGAGTTTTGAAGTTTGGAAGCAAATTTGGAAATTCTAGAATTTTGCCCATCCGCTCGAGCGACAAAACCTACGCTCGAGCGACCACTCTTTGTTCTGTACTCTCGCTCGAGCGACCAAAAGTTGGCTCGAGCATAAAATACATGCTCCTAGAAGTTTACCATTTTTTTCAGACCGCACGAGCGACAAAAGTTGCGCTCGAGCGAATATCTCAGTCTCACGCTCGAGCGACCGTCGAGCGGAAAAATCACACAACCAGTACTTTTACAGAGTTTACAAACCGCTTGAGCGAAGGAAGTTGTACTTGAGTGACCACTCACATTTTTGAACATCTGCTCTAGCGAAGGAAGTTGCACTAGAGCGAAACCTCTGTTTTCACCAAATTTGACCAAGTGTTTTCAAGAGCATTCTGGCATCCTTATTGCATTCTAGACATTCCTAGGCCATAATTAAGACATAATAATGAGGATAGACTTAGAAACACACTAAGAATGAAATAAAATAAGCTAAATACGATCCAAGCGTGTGTTTTAATATGTATATCTGTTATGGTGGTGCAGGTCACGCACCGTAAGCTGTTGATCAATTGGTTGCTAGCCAAGCTATCTGTGCAATTATTAGTGAGTAATAACTCTATAAAGTTATGTTTGACTTTAATTATTTTCTAATAATATGAAATGAACAGTTTTCAGAAATGCTATGTTTTGTATGAATGAAGGATTGTCCAATTTTCTTTGAAATTTAATTGTGGTATCCTTAGCAGAGGCCCTCGCCTAGGGGACATAATAATATGGCTTATGGTTATGAGGCCCTCGCCCAGGGAAAACAATATTATGGCCCAGGCCCTCACCCAGGAGAAACAATACCATGGCCCATGTATGAGATATGTTACCTAGTACCGGAAGTTCCAATATGGAGCTTGGTATGCTTAACTAAAAAGATATGTTAATGCTCATGGATGTACCACGCATGATATGAATATGATTATGACTCTGTTTCTGATGCGGATATGCTAATGCTTCTATTCAATAAGAGAATTGAAATCTATATTTGATATGGACATCATTCATTAACATTTTTACTTTGTTATTATTTACTGAGCTCATGCTCACTATATTATATATGAATGTAGGTGACCAGGGACGTGAGCAGGCACAAAGTTGATAGCCTGGAGTCTCAGTTTTGTCAGCCAGGCGTTGTGCCTCCTAAGGAGGTTCTCTTTTGAGACATGATCTAGTTGCACGTGTCTAAGACTTTGTTTTCTTTCGAGTTATGAACAAGTTTTCGGTTTACGTGTACACTGGGCTAAGCTCCCTTTTGTTATATTGTAATGAATGTGACGTAAGACTACTGTATTTATGACGTCACTTATATGTATATAAAGTTTTGAATTTCTGCCCCACATATGTCTACACTGCTCAATGGACTATGTATGTTTCTATATTTGCTTCCTCTAGCCCCTTATATTTTGTTATTTAGGTCAGATGCCCTCGGTAATCTAAGGATTACTGGCCGGTTACAATGTTAAATCTGTAACGGCGGGTTTGGGTCGTAACAAATTTATAACAAATGATAGTTGTAATTTCTAGTATTATAGAACTTATTCATATTTTAAACAAATTTTATGGGTTTATTTGTAATTTGTTAAAAAATAAAATATTTATGTTTCATAATTGATCAAGAATATTTGTGTAATTACGAGAAAAGTTATTTCATAATTAACCAAGATTGCATAATTACGAAAAAACCTGTTGCATACTTGACCAAGAATGTTTGTATAATTACGAAAAAAAACCTTTACTCAATATATTGGCCACCATTAGCAAATTATTCAAAATAAAAGGGTAAAATAGGAAGAAAAAAAAGACGAGCTATAGAAAAGAAAAAGCTTGTTATATATATACATATATTCCATTATACGATATACATACATAGGGGTCAATTCATTAGTTGGAAAAGAGGCTAACATAAAAAGTATCAAACTCGTTTTCATATGATTTGAATTTGTAATCTCACACTACAAAGTAGTATTTTAGTAATTTTTTAATTTTTTACGAAATGGTGTACAAAAAATAGAGATAATGATTTGACAAATTGTAATAATTTTTTAGCTAAAAAGTAAGGTTCCCAAACAAGGCCTTAATTTCAATTTTTTTTTTTTTTTTTGATAATAACAAAGTCTTAGGTAGTGTAGTTAGTAAGTAAACGGTGATGATGATGATGATGTTTATTATTATTATTGGTCTCTAAAAGTTTCTCCAATGATAAGTTTTATGATTTGTTATTTTTATATTTTATCTTGAAGCTTTAAAATTCATTACAATGGTAATGTGATTTGTTATATAACAGAAGGTTTATTTATAGGTGATGATACAAGTGGTTCCAGACAGAACGGGTCGATTTGATCCACGCTTCCCAAACTGGTGCCCGAGACGCCCAGTCCACAGAGAGACCTACACAAGAGTTCAAAGTGGAACGGGGAGTCCCCCAGGGAACCCTCCAATGAGCAAGTTAGAAAGAGAGAGAGAAATGGAATGTAGGGATAGATTGGTGATAGAGAAGCTTAACCGTTTCTTTGTCTTAGGAGCCTACTTATATCCATTGCTCATCATTTCCTTGTCCACTCCGAGCCATCATGTTAGCCGAAAGTCTGTGCTCTAGCTTGCCTTGTTCATGGTGAGGCTGTTCCGTTCCGACGTGAGGGGTTATCGTAATAAATGTTGCAGGAAAACTCATTAATGGCTGATGTGTGGTGCAATAACTTTGCAGGATCTTTGTCTGCTGATGTGGCTGGTTCTTCACTAGCCGCGTGTTTAGATGTTATTGGTCCTTAATGCCACGTTGAGCTCCGCCAATGTTGGGCTTTAGTGTTTGAATTATGTATTGGGTTCTGAGTGATAGGCCAAAAGCTCTTATAGGGCCACCTATGTCAGTAGTCCCCTATTCCCAAGTTTAGCTTTAGTCCAACGAAGGAAATAAGAAAGAAAACAAGGGTTGTGAGAGGTCGTCGAAGGATGACCGAGGATGAAGGCCGACTGAGAGGAGGGTCGGCCGCGAGGGGTGACCGAGTGAAAAGGTCGGCTGAGAGGAGGGCCGACCGTGAGGGGTGACCGAGGGTGAAGGCCGACTGAGAGAAGGGTCGATTGCGAGGGGTGACCGAGTGAGAAGGTCGACTGAGAGGAGGGCCGACCGCGAGGGGTGACCGAGTGAGAAGGTCGGCTGAGAGGAGGGGTGACCGAGTGAGAAGGTCGACTGAGAGGAGGGCCAACCGCGAGGGGTGACTGAGCGAAAAGGTGGAATGGCGGTGCGCGGGGCTCGAGGAGTGGCGGGGCACGTGGTGACACGTAGGAGAATTGGCGCAAGCGGAAGTTGGATCGTAGTCGTACACGTGGCAAAATCCCATGGTGGGGGAGGTAATGCGTTGTAACAAGAAATGAAGGGATAGTGCGAGTTTGGAAAAATTTTGGAAAATTTTCAAACTGGAAAAATTTAACCTTGACCCTTGGAATATAGGCAAACCGTGGGTGTTTGGGGTTGTCCGCTTTACCTACCTTTTTGCGAAAAATCCACACGTCCCAAAGGTAAACGCGTTTGTTTCCAGCGATACACCTCTGCAACACTTCGTGAACTTCCTTGTGCCCACGTCCGAATCAATACACAGACACGTAGGAGAATTGGCGCAAGAGGAAGTACCAACCGCAAGGCCTGACTCGTTAGGTGATGACGATGTGGTGGGGTTGGCGAAACAGTACCGGGCGGAGGGAAGGAAGGGCAGGGTAGTCAGTCAGGCGATGCGGGCTTGCCCTATACCAATGATCGCTGCCGCGAGGCCCATTAGTCAAGCGGAGCCGGACCATTGGCACACCAAGCCGGACAAATCTACACTTACAGTGGAGGAGTTGGAGGAAATAAGGAGGAAATACCAAATTCCATTGGAGATAGGGTTGAGGTTGCCCACGTCCAAGGAGATGGCATCAGATGTGCAACCGGATGAATTCAGCCTCTACAAGGAAGCGCTGCGAGGGGGTTTGAGGTTGTCTCTCCCTCAAATAGTGGTGGATGTGCTAAACAAGTTAGAAGTGGCGCCAAGGCAACTAATGCCGAATGCGTTGAAGATAGTAGTGGCCTGCATGAGTGCTTGGCAGTAGGCGACCGGAGGGATGGCTATGACAATGGAGGAGTTCTTCTCTTACTACAAGGCCTTCGGTCAGCAGGAGACTTGAGTGACTCTGCAAGCAGTGGCAGGTCGGGGTCTAGTGGCTGGCCTGCCATCTTCCGTGAAGGGGTGGAGGCCGAGATGGTTCTTCGTGTTGGCGAACGGTGGGGCAGGGGTTTACACAACATGGAAAGTCCCCACGAAATCGGTGGAGCCAAAGTTAGGCGTGGAGGCCGAGGACAGAGTAAAAAAAGTGAGAGAGTAGAAGGAGGAGAAGGGAGTGAGGTGGGACGAGTTGGTCCTACCTTCAATGTTGTTTGCCCTGAACTTGGGACCGCAACCGTTAGAAGAGGATCCTACAAGGGAGGAAATGGATGGGAGGAGGAAAGCGGAGGAGGAGGGGAGGAGGTTGTTCGCCAGGGCGGAAAAATACAAGGAGGCGCAATTAGGGCTTGCCCTAAAGTTGGTGGTGAGGGAGCGGATCCGACCGCGTCCCAAACCGGTAGGCGACAAAGACCTAAACGACTTCGCCCCTCTGCCGCCCCCAGTAGACCCACTGAAGGTGAGGGGCAAGCAGGAGGTGGAGGTGGTTATGAAGAAGCCAAGAAAGAAGAAGGGGGGTGTAAAAGGGGGAAATAATGGCCCTGTGTTGAAAAAGATGAAGGCTGGGGGGGAGGCTACCCCTATTGTGATGGAGTTGGAGGAGAGGAAGGCGGAGGGAGCCCCAGAGAAGGAGAAGTTGAAAGAGGGAGAGATCACGGAGGGCACAAGAGGAGAGACCGCCCATGTAGTCAAGGAAAAGCTGGGCTTAAGGGCCCCCATGGTGTCGATGGTGGCATCTGCACCTGAAGTAAGTTCAAGCCCCCGCGAGGGGAAAGCGGGAATCAGCAAACCAGCGACAAGTGCCGCGCTGGAGACCGCCTTATACCATGTGCGGGCGCTGGCAGGTCGCTCGGTGGAAGGGGAGGGAGCCAGGGTCGCAGCCGACCGCTTTGTTGGAGTGGTGGAAGATGCGGCGGTGCGCTCAGCGGCGCATTTGTCTGAGGCCAACCTGTTGAGAAGGTTTTATTCTGCCCAAATAGAAGCAGCAACTCTGGTGACCACCCTGATGAACAAGGCAGCGCACTCTAGGGTGGAAGTGGAGCCTCTAAGGGCCCAGTTGGAAAGGGCAAAATTAGAGCTCCAGAATTTAAGGGCGGAGACAGCGGGGTGGAAGAAGACCGCCAGGAGTGCGTGCGCCAAGGGTTTTGAGTAGATGCAGGTGGCAAAAGTCATGGAAGTGTTGGCGGTGGTGCAGAAAAACGCAACAGAGCGAGCTAGTGCCGAGTTGGTCGCCACCAAGTCGGAGCTTGAAGCGGAGCATCACAAGGTGATATCGCTTGAGTTCGAATTGGTGGGTGAGCAGAAGAAGCTTGTGGAGGTCCAAAAAGCTTACACCACCGCCAACGAAAGGTGGGAAGAGGCCATGACCAGCAATGAGGATCTGTGGGATCAGGCGCTGAAGGACAAGGAAATGGCTGACAGTAAGATCGCTGAGCTGGAGAAGACTTTGGCTGAGGAAAGGGCTAGATCAGTGTCTAAGAGAGCGGTGTACCCCGACCTGTGCAAGGCGGCGGTGTAGCAATTCAAAGAATCCGCCGAGTTCCAGATAGCGATTAATGCCGCAGTAGCCAGGAGCTTGGCGAGAGAGAGTGATGGGGGGGCTGGGCCATCGAGAACAGTCGCTGGAAGTAGGAGTGAAAAAGAAGTGATCCAAAGCTTCCACCGGCCGGATTTTTATAAGCACGAGATGGCTGAGTTCTGGGACAGCAGCTGGAAGACCTTCAAACGTAAAGCGGATCATTCCCAGACTTGACTTCAGCAGTGTGAAAATAGATGAAGACGACATTGCCTAGACCCCCCTAGATGAAGGGGTTGAGGAGGAAGACTTGGTCTCTAGTGAAGAAGACTGATGCATGTAAAAATTTTGTTTTTTTTTTTTTTTTTGGTTATGTGTAATTTCTGTAGGAAGTTGTATGTAACCTTAAGTTTTAGGAATAAAACGACTTGTCTTTTGTATCATTGTTGCCCTTATTTCTTCTGGGTTGTAAATTTGGAAATAATTCAACGAAAAATGGGTATGAAATTAAGACTAGTACGCAGATTAGCCTAACTTGTGAGAAAGCCATGATGCAAAAATCATTAAAAATGGGCGTACATGAAAATGTTAAAGAATAAAAGATGAAAGACTGACTTGGACGACTATGGACCTGAATTTTAACTATGTGGAAAATGTGAGATTAAAAATGTGACTCTGCAAGCAGTGGCAGGTCGGGGTCTAGTGGCTGGCCTGCCATCTTCCGTGAAGGGGTGGAGGCCGAGATGGTTCTTCGTGTTGGCGAACGGTGGGGCAGGGGTTTACACAACATGAAAAGTCCCCACGAAATCGGTGGAGCCAAAGTTAGGCGTGGAGGCCGAGGACAGAGTAAAAAAAGAGAGAGAGTAGAAGGAGGAGAAGGGAGTGAGGTGGGACGAGTTGGTCCTACCTTCAACGTTGTTTGCCCTGAACTTGGGACCGTAACCGTTAGAAGAGGATCCTACAAGGGAGGAAATGGATGGGAGGAGGAAAGCGGAGGAGGAGGGGAGGAGGTTGTTCGCCAGGGCAGAAAAATACAAGGAGGCGCAATTAGGGCCTGCCCTAAAGTTGGTGGTGAGGGAGCGGATCCGACCGCGTCCCAAACCGGTAGGCGACAAAGACCTAAACGACTTCGCCCCTCTGCCACCCCCCGTAGACCCACTGAAGGTGAGGGGCAAGCAGGAGGTGGAGGTGGTTATAAAGAAGCCAAGAAAGAAGAATGGGGGTGTAAAAGGGGGAAATAATGGCCCTGTGTTGAAAAAGATGAAGGCTGGGGGGGAGGCTACCCCTATTGTGAAGGAGTTGGAGGAGAGGAAGGCGGAAGGAGCCCCAGAGAAGGAGAAGTTGAAAGAGGGAGAGATCACGGAGGGCACAAGAGGAGAGACCGCCCAAGTAGTCAAGGAAAAGTTGGGCTTAAGGGTCCCCATGGTGTCGATGGTGGCATTTGCACCTGAAGTAAGTTCAAGCCCCCGCGAGGGGAAAGCGGAAATCAGCAAACCAGCGACAAGTGCCGCGCTGGAGACCGCCTTATACCATGTGCGGGCGCTGGCAGGTCGCTCGGTGGAAGGGGAGGGAGCCAGGGTCGCAGCCAACCGCTTTGTTGGAGTGGTGGAAGATGCGGCGGTGCGCTCGGCGGCGCATTTGTCAGAGGCCAACCTGCTGAGAAGGTTTTATTCTGCCCAAATAGAAGCAGCAACTCTGGTGACCACCCTGATGAACAAGGCGGCGCGCTCTAGGGTGGAAGTGGAGCCTCTAAGGGCCCAGTTGGAAAGGGCAAAATTAGAGCTCCAGAATTTAAGGGCGGAGACGGCGGAGTGGAAGAAGACCGCCAGGAGTGCGTGCGCCAAGGGTTTTGAGTAGATGCGGGTGGCAAAAGTCATGGAAGTGTTGGCGGTGGTGCAGAAAAATGCAACAGAGTGAGCTAGTGCCGAGTTGGTCGCCACCAAGTCGGAGCTTGAAGCGGAGCATCACAAGGTGATATCGCTTGAGTTCGAATTGGTGGGTGAGCAGAAGAAGCTTGTGGAGGTCCAAAAAGCTTACACCACCGCCAACGAAAGGTGGGAAGAGGCCATGACCAGCAATGAGGATCTGTGGGATCAGGCACTGAAGGACAAGGAAATGGCTGACAGTAAGATCGCTGAGCTGGAGAAGACTTTGGCTGAGGAAAGGGCTAGATCAGTGTCTAAGAGAGCGGTGTACCCCGACCTGTGCAAGGCGGCGGTGTAGCAATTCAAAGAATCCGCCGAGTTCCAGATAGCGATTAATGCCGCAGTAGCCAGGAGCTTGGCGAGAGAGAGTGATGGGGGGGCTGGGCCATCGAGAACAGTCGCTGGAAGTAGGAGTGAAAAAGAAGTGATCCAAAGCTTCCACCGGCCGGATTTTTATAAGCACGAGATGGCTGAGTTCTGGGACAGCAGCTGGAAGACCTTCAAACGTAAAGCGGATCATTCCCAGACTTGACTTCAGCAGTGTGAAAATAGATGAAGACGACATTGCCTAGACCCCCCTAGATGAAGGGGTTGAGGAGGAAGACTTGGTCTCTAGTGAAGAAGACTGATGCATGTAAAAATTTTGTTTTTTTTTTTTTTTTTTGGTTATGTGTAATTTCTGTAGGAAGTTGTATGTAACCTTAAGTTTTGGGAATAAAACGACTTGTCTTTTGTATCATTGTTGCCCTTATTTCTTCTGGGTTGTAAATTTGGAAATAATTCAACGAAAAATGGGTATGAAATTAAGACTAGTACGCAGATTAGCCTAACTTGTGAGAAAGCCATGATGCAAAAATCATTAAAAATGGGCGTACATGAAAATGTTAAAGAATAAAAGATGAAAGACTGACTTGGACGACTATGGACCTGAATTTTAACTATGTGGAAAATGTGAGATTAAAAATATAGATACTGCTAAAATGGGCTGGATTTTGACTAAGTATGGCCACCATGCTGTAACATTAAATCATTAAAATCGGCCGCTGAATTTTAACCATGTCTCTTGCTTGGAAAGCCCTTCATCTGGTTGAGCTCTTTGTGCTCAGTCCGGTTGACCGCCACTCAGTCTGGCTGAGCTCTTCGTGTTTAGTCGGGCTGAGGCTTTAAGTAACTCAGTCTGGCTGAGCTCTTCGTGCTTAGTCTGGCTAAGGCTTTAAGTAACTCAGTCTGGTTGAGCTCTTCGTGCTCAGTCTGGCTGAGGCTTTATACAGCTTAGTCTTAACAAGTTGTTATTGAAACACATCGCAGATAATGGAGATGCAAAGTCATTGTCATTCAAAGTGTAGCCTACTGATCAGATAATTACATCATGTATGAAAAAGGCAAAAGTAACCAGGTGTGTAGATTGTTATACAACAATTGATCAATACAAAAATAGGACATGGTATTTTACTGGAAATAACGCTTCAAGTGTTTGGCGTTCCACGGGTGGGGGAGGTCTCGACCTTCCATATCTTGGAGTCGGTAAGTGCTTGGGCGAGGTCTGGCTTTAACGACATAAGGCCCTTCCCATTTGGTGGCGAGCTTGCCCTCGGCTGGATTTTTGGTGGCGAGAGTTGCCTCGCACAAGACTAAGTCCCCGACTGTGAACTCCCTCGATCGAACCTTGCGGTTGTAGTGTGTTCTCATTTTTTGTTTATATGAGGCTCGTCTGACAGCAGCTATTTCTCGGAGCTCTTCGATCAAGACTAAGTCAGTCCGACGCAAGTTTTTGGTGAGTTCTGGATCTGGGTGTAGCACCCTCAGGGTTGGCAGGCCAATTTCAACTGGGATGACCGCCTCAGCGTCGTATGTTAAGCGAAAGGGGGTCTCCCCAGTAGGGGTTCGAGCGGTAGTGCGATAGACCCAGAGTATGTTTGGCAGTTCCTCAACCTAGAGTCCCTTAGCAGCTTCCAACTTGGTTTTGATGATCTTCAAGAGAGATCGGTTGGTGACCTCGACTTGCCCATTGGCTTAGGGATGGCCTGGGGAGGAGAAGCATGGTTGAATGTGGAGCTCTGTACAAAATTTCCTAAACTTGGCATTGTAGAATTGAT